TAAAAATTCGTTAAAAATCGCGTGTGGAATATTATAAACTAAGAAAAATTAAAAACTGTAAAATTGATACATGAATTTAAGCTTAATCAAAGATTATTATACTGTAAGTAAATATTTGACACTTAACGTTGTTAAGAATTTGATCAGAATTATTCTCACTGTAGGTTATAGAGTTTTATACATTAGAAATAGTTTACATTTTCTTTAACTAAAGGTTTGGATACTTTTGTAAACTGTAATAACATAATTTCTTCAAAAGACAAAAAATAGTTAAACGTTTATTAATATTTTTTTAAATAAAAAAAAATTAAAGTTATAAAATGAAAGTTTTAAATATTTTCTCGTAACTTTTAATTGTATTCTAAAATGTTTAATTCATTTTTTTCAAAAAGCGTTAAAAATTTGAAATTACTTTTCTCAAGGTATGTTTTTATGTAATTTTATTATTTTTACAGACAATTTATCATTTAAATTCATATACTTTTATACAAAAGAAAAAAATTGTTTCGTCAATTTCCTTTTAAAAATGTCTCCAGATACTTCGACCTAATTATTACCGACTGTCTGTGATATATGCGTTAGTAATAATTAATTACTTTCAAATTTATATTTAACGGGATAATTAATTCAACAGGTTTTTTATATGTAGAGTTTAACTGTGACTTACAAAAGAGCTTTAAAAATATAATACATAATACAGTTTTCATTTTCAGAAGTTAATGGTATCTTTCTATGATTTCCAGGAAACAATTAGATTCTAATTCCTTTACCCCCTTAAATTTTATCAAATTTAAATTTTTAAAAAAAACATATATGTTTAATCACTGACAAATTAGAAATTATCAATCTAATCAAGTGATTGGTCAATAATAATTTACGTGAGTCATAATTAATCACCATGTATTGTTTTGTTTTATTATACTTATGGATTGTATTCCTACCAATTTTTTATTAAAATAACTTCTCGTTAACCATTTAAATTAAAAAATATATTTTTCAAAAATCACAAAAAAAATCCATTTTATTATCATAATATCTAAAGATTTTAAAGTAAATTAATTAATGTTCATTTAAAATTTGGGTTATTTACAATTCACATATTTAAAAATTAAATTAAAAATAATTATAAAATTATACAATTACACTTGATAAATTTTATGTTACATTTAATATATTATTCTTTATAAATTTAATATAATTTTAAGTTTTATGTCTGAATGTATTGGATTAATTTTGAATTTCTTATCAAAGTTTTAAAGTCATATTTTTATTATACTATTCATAAAGGTTTTGATATTGATTTGGATTAAATGTGTTCACTAATTATTTTCTTACTAAAATATTATTAGCAGCTTTACAGATGAACATTGTTTTGCTTTTTACACTATCTTATACTCACAACATAATCCTTTGGGCTCGTTTTTTTATAATGCTTTTTTATGTCGCACTATCGTCATATTTCTAAAATCTGTTTAATATTTTACCGTATTCTTGAGTTTTCCCTAGGCTATAATAACTAAATGTAATAGCTCATATTTTAACGATGTCGTTTCACACTCAATTTTATACTTATATTTATTTTCGTTTTACAACTTAGATCGACTTACAAGATTATAAGCATAAAATATGACTTTTCTTCAAAAACAGTTTTATTTATTATACATACTCACTATTGATTTAAGAAGCTTTACTAAATTGAAACTTGGGATGTTTGATTCAGTTCAAATAAATCAAATTTGAATTCATAGTTTTTTAATGTCGAATTAAAATCATTTGTAATTGCGTGAAGGTTAAAGATTAGTATGATATTATAGTTGTGTGAAACAAAATTTGAATTTCATCATATTGATGAAATTATGGTAATATTTACCATAATTTCAAAAAGTAGCCAATTAATAAATTTTTAAATAACCAAGTACTAACGTGTTAAGTTAGTGTCATATTTACAGGGGGTGAGGTCCATGGAGTTCAAACCCCTATGGACATAAAATCATAGTAGAGGGGTAAATCTCATCTGAATTATTTAAAATATTATTAGTTTTTTTTAATTTTTATTAAAATTGTTCAAATTTGTATTTATTTTACTTTGACATTATATGATTTTAAATTATATTTTAAATAATTGTGATATTCAAATATATCTAACAAAAAATCTTATCTTTATTCAAACAATTTTTTTTATAAATCATATTAATCGTTTAAGTATAGTTTTGAAGTATACCAATATTTTTAAGTAAACGATACACTTAAATAATATAAGTAATAAATAAATCATAAACTGACTAATACGAAAACACTGACAAAAACAAAAACCCTACCTGTAGGAATTTGGTAGACGTAATTATAATTAGACCACAACTTGGTTTTAAGATTCATTACTTTATGTTTTTAGTGTTTTTAATATTTGGGTTTTACATAAGTAATGTAATTTTATCTCTCTTGAAAAAAAATGACTTGACGACTGTAGGTGTTGTTTAATTAGAAATTTGTTATCTAAGAAAAACAATCCGATCTACTAACATTATTTGTATGTACATTATTATTAGGTGTTCTAAACAAGTATACTTAACAGATATTGATGTACAACATGTGGGTGTATAAAAATTTTATTTACAGGTGCCCAACAAAGACTTGGTAATCAAGTCGATATAGAGAAATAACTATTAACAATTTTTGTAGTAGTAAAATAGATTAGATAAAATTTTATCTAAGCTGTAGTGATACTATTTTTATTCGCGTTTGTAGACACTTTTTTATAATCTATTATGTTTGTAAAAAATATATTTGTTTGGGACTAGAAATATACGAGTATTATTATCTTAATAGGGTTTAACTTGTTGGGGATCTGGATTAATCGACGATTTACATAGAGGTGAAAAGAAAACATAAATATAGTTTGACACGTAGATTAACACTTTAATTAAAAAATATGTGTTTTAAATTAAATAAAATCAGAAAAAAACATTATTAGTAACATTATCACGTATAATATCTAAAACGAAAATATTTTCAAAACTTAATTAAAAATCAAAATATGTGATATGAATAAAAATAAAATATCGTTTAACATAATATAACTTAAAAAAAAAATTATTATTTTCAAACTTTCTATTTAAAAAAAAAATACTATTTAAGAAATAATTAGTTATTTTACAATATTAAAAACTGTTTTTAGCAGTGAATTATGCATTGAACACTTTTAATGTATTACGTTAAAATGTAAATGAAAAAAATTAGGCTAGTAGAATAAATTGAGACGATTAAGTTTTCTAATTGAAATTGAATTCATTTTGTTTGTTTGATATTTAAAGCCGGTTGAATTTGATTATGCAGACATCATCTTAAATTTTAAAGTGACGATAAAATGTATGAGGATTCTCTAAAAACTAAAACAAATATCATGACTATAATGTGATTGTGAAGCAAAGTGATTGAATACTTATTTGATGATGGTGCCAAGTTAAAATATTAAATAAGAAAAATATTCAGATTTTAGTTGCATTAATGTAGTGTTATACTTCAGCAAATTTAATTTAGACATATAATTAAATCGACTGTGAATGAATGATGATACAGAAACTGGTATGACTACATGAAATAGGATTAATCAAATAGATTTTATTTTGTTATTTTACTATTGATGTTCTTTTTACAAATCATAAATTTAAAAGAAAAATGAGCAAGTTAAATTTTTTTCTTCAATGAAAAAATCCTGTATTTATGCAATAAGTATGGGATTTAATGTATTACACGTAAAAGGTCTATCATTTCTTGTCTATAATTTATATTTCTTTGAACTTTAGAAATCTGATGTCAATCACATTTTCACCATAAACACAACGCTAGTCAGATTTCTTCAGTAACACATAATTATATTAAATGAAGATATAAACTAATAAATACTAAATCCTTACCAAGTAAAATCGATTAAAATACTATATATTTTATATATAATACATATACATACAATAGATTTCGTAGCAAGTTCAAAAGTCAATCTTCAAATTTCTAAATGTGAATCCTGTGTATCTTTTGAATTAATAGCTGCAACTATATTAATAGTTAGTAATTCTTTAGCTTATAAGATTAGTTTTATTTCTTTGTTTCTTTATGGAGTGCATCAAACCACACATGTTTTTACTAAGTTTTGTTAAGAATTATTCATTTATCGATCTATAAGTTGTTAAATGTTTTCAAAGTCTATCCCTTTTCTTTTGCAAGGATAACACCTTAATATTTTTAATGGTAAAAAATATTTGAATAGATTAAATGTGTAAAATATTTAAGTCATCATTTAAAAAAATTAAGTTGTTACTCTTAGGAGCCATTCATAAATTACGTCACACGGATTTTAGAATTTTTAAATCCCTCCCCCGTCCATGTCACAGTTTGTCACATTTTTAGAATGTGACGTCACACATTTTTCAAACTTATGCATGTATTTAAAAATAAACTTTTCCATAAGGTATTAACTTCATCTTTTCTTTTTTGTCAGCATAGGCAGCACTGTAGACATCAAAATGTCAGCGGTAAAGACTACATTGATCAATCTTTGTGTTTATTTAATAAATTAAAAATATTAAAAAAGTTGACGAAAAATGGAATGACTGCCACTAAGCGAACGTATACTATTAGCGTATACTATAATCGTGTACGTGTTGACAGGGCCGTCCCTACATTTTGCGGGGCCAGGGGCATAACTATATTTGCGGGGCCTACCAAAAATCTCTCTCAAAAAATTACACTCACGTAAGTCGTAATCTCAACCATTTCAAATGTTAACATACATAAAGTATTATTTCAAAAATAATATAACATTCCATTGTTATTTTTATTTTATTCTCATATGTGCTCTTCGTAGTGCCAATTTGATTAGATGAACACATCTAAAAATGTAATTTCCATCATACACTTATACATAAATAAATTATGATTAAATTGTTGTTTCTTTTAATAATACATATAACATGTCATTATTGTAGGTACACATATAATAGTATTTAAAAATTGATTTTTCTTGATTTGTGATCAGAAAATGTGTCAATAATATCATCAAAGTCCATTTCGTCTACTATATCACGTTCAATTGATATTATAGCTAAGTTTGTCGTTTTTTCCTGATTTAATGTGGTTTTTAGGTAATTTTTTATCAACTTTAGTTTAGAGAATGATCTCTCGGCTGTTGCTGTTGAAACTGGTAATGTGAACATAATCCTTAATGCTATAGCAACATTAGCATAAACATCACCAACACTATTGCTAAGGATTTTTTGTAAAACATGAAGAGATGGAGTACCTTTTTCTATTATTTCTGAAAGAAGACAAAGCTCATCATACAACTCAATTCCACTTATGTCCATGTTTTCACCAGTTTGTAAAAGAATCTGAAGATCATTGCAACTCTTTATCAATGTATCTGAATCAACAGTAGATAAATTACCAATATCAAAGAGAAATCCAAAATAATTGTAAAAATGATCCAATTGGGTGAATCTTTGATTTATAGACATAATTCCTTGATCTAAAATTGGTAAAAAAAAATCATTGACAAAAGTTTCTTCTTAATTTTTTGAACATAATATAGGAGAGCTTTCATAATTAAACATTCGTTTCTTTAAACTTATTCTTTTTGACTTAAACTCTGGTTTTATATTGATTTGTTTGCAAATAAGTATAGCTTCTTCTTTTGCTTCATTAAATCCATTTTCTCGATACTTATTTAAAAACTGATTGAGACCTTTCAAATTATTTACAGCAAAATCAATTGAAATGCTTTCATTTTGCAGAGATTTGCTAATTTTATTAATATTATTTAATAAATTATACCATATTATTGATTTTAGCACAAATTCGTAAGATATTTCATGTTCAGCAAGAGAAATAGCTTCACTTTTAATTGCCGGTATTGATGTAGATTCACTTACTTCTATTAACGCTTCATTTATCTCTTTAAGTTGCATTTTCACGGCCTTCACA